GAAAGAGTTTTATTTATTGTCCCCATTGCTTTTCATTGAACATTAAATTCCAACAGCATCTGGGAATTCAGCGTCTTATGCTGCCCCACACTGCAGGGAAAGGAGAAGGACTACATTCTGTTTTATAGGCATGTACATAGTTTACTTTTTAAAAACATGTTCTTAAATAATTTTGACGGAGTCACGAGAAACCCCATACAAAGATACAGGTGACATAAGGTGTATACATACTTAGGTTGCCTCTGGTGCATCTATCACTGGACTGGCAGAGAAATGTGGGCGGAGTTTGGTAAATAGTGTTCCTATTACCCTGGATAACCAGTAACCACACAAAGGGCTAACCTGATACACTCAAGCCTAAATAGGCAGAGCCAGCTGTCAATCACACAGCTGGGTGGATCTCAACAGTAATGTCGGGATCTTGCAGCATGGTTCCACTGAGACGCCACAGCTGAAGCGGATCCCGACAATTGTGCCGGGATCCGCCCAGCTGCGTGACTTACAGCTGGCTCTGCCTATCTAAAGGCAGAGCCCGCTGTAACCGCCCCCTCCCCCGTCCGTTCCGCCAGACAGCGCTGGCGGATCGGAGCGGGGAGGGGGAAATCCAGCCCCTCCCCTGTCACGGCAGAGAGCCGTGACAGGATCGAGAGGTGAGCGAACGCCGGTATGTGTTCGCTCACCTCCCAATCTACTGAGCCGACCTGTGACAGTCTCATTGTCACAGTTCGGCTAGAACTATGAGGTGAGAGAAAAGCACTCACCTCATAGTTCTCCTTTAAATAAAACTTTTTGTCTATATGATTTGCTGCATCTTCTAAGCTTGCGGTGTTCAGTGAAATCAGAGTCCAGGAGGGGAACCGGCACAACTGTACAAAACTGAATGTAATGCTAGAATTCAGCTTTGGGTCTATGCAGAATATAGAGTGAGAACACGACCAGTAAACAATGGTAATTAGTAGTCACACACGGGCCCCCTGACCTCATGGGTCCTATCACAATTGCTCTATATGCACAGCCTGCAACCAAGGGATTAACACCAAGAACATATTCTCTACCTGGAGCCCAGGAATTAAAAACCTGCAACTTCTCAATACACAGAAACACTTCATCAGCTTGCCTGTAGCCTCCACAAGACATACTGTATATGTATAATGGAAGCCTGAAACAAGAAGTATAGACATGCACGACGTATACTTGCATAGGTAAAGGAATATGCAACGTATTGTTATTGTTCGCCAGCCATGTGTGTAATAACAGATTATCTCTGCTTGTGTCACGATTTGCAGTCCAGGCTCGTAATGCAGAGCCATCTTGCTGAGGGTTATGGGTATATTACATCTTATGGTCTATTCACCCGGCACTATAGATGTGATTACAGTGCCATGTACCTCCTGTGTGTGTTATATAAGTCGACACTGCATTCGCTCTCCTTCCTCATCTCCAAATCATTACTGTGAACAGCAGCAGTCCGTCTCGCACCGGCCCCGGTTTAACACCCAGGATAAATTGTATGCGTTTAACACATTACCGGCGATAGCTGGCTGGAAAGAGATATGATAAGGTGGACTGAGGAAAAACGCACTCTATAAGCCAAAGCAACACTGTGACACGGCCTGCATTGCACCCCCACTGTCCATACACAGCCAAGGAACAGGACTCGACGCAGAATAAAAAAAAAATCACTCACATGCCGTATTATATTGAGTCCCTGTAAGCACAGCTAGAAGAATGACATGCCTGGACGCTATCTGAAACAATACAAGTATTACATTACAAATGGAATTGTAGTAAAATAATAAATTACATGTTTCTACAGTACAACTGCTGCAGCACAGGAAGACTACAAAATTCCAAGTCCAAAAATATAATGCCCCCTCTCCACAATTTGAAGAACATAAGGACGTTCTGCATCTCGCACTGCAGAGTTGGCAAAGGTGAGAAAGCTGAAGCATTATAATGTAGCACTTTGTGGGATACTATAAAGTTTTTAGGGAGCAGACCTATTCTATAGAATTCAATGGTGGTGGACATTATTTTTTGTTAAGTTGGAGATTAAATTTAAAATCTCATTGCTCCAAATCTCCACATCATAGATAAAGTATGGCACTTTGTATTCCCAAATTTCAGACACTGAGTATGTGAACCATGTCTAACTTGCTAAATTACATCCTTGTGTCATTTTTATGATACATGAAGGGCCAATTTGTCAATTTTCTGGAACACCCAACTGTTATCATATCACTGTCAAAGTGTCAGTGTGTCACTGTCCTAAGACCCCAAGGATCGACATGCTATTATTTTGGAATATTCCAAACTGTTATGACATAATTGTTCTGGGAACCTCAAGTATCATTGTGTCCAAAAGTCATCGTCCAGGAAGTCCAAGGGTCAATGTGCCACAGTTCTAAGACCTAGTGTTGTCAGTGGGCCATTGTTTTAAGACCCAAAAATAGACAGGCCAATGTTCTAAAACCCAAGGTGTCAAAAAATCATTGTTCTTGAAGTCCAAGGGTCAATGTGCCACAGTTCTTTGACTGCAAGTGGCAATGTGTGATTCTTCTGGGTCCCAAAGATCAATGGGCCATTGTTCTAGAACCCAAGTTTTGAAATGTCATTGTTCTAGAACTGAACAGGTTTCTAGTCTATTCTTCTGAGACCATTAGAGGGAATGCACCCTTTCTTTAAATCTCAAGTGAAAACATGCAATTTCTATGAGACCAAAGTTAACAGTTTACAATTATTCTGGTACTTCAACTGCCAGAGTGCCATGGTTCTGGGACCCCAACTGTACCATTGTTTTGGAACCATAAGAGTGAGTACGGCATTCCAGTTCAGAAAAGTGAAATCTACTATACTAGTGACACCAAAGTTACCCCAAGAGACAAATTGGAGTTTGGGAATCACAGATTCCATATATACCAGAATACATGTCATAGCCTCCAATTCAATGCACAATGCCACAATGCATTAATTCACTGCTTTGAGGGGAAACAAAATATATAATAATATAATTTTCAGTACACCAAATCTTTAAAATAAAGGTGGCAGAAATAATATATTCCAATATACTGCTAAATTCCTGTTAACAAGTCTAATAGAAGAAACACAAAACCACGCTCACTTTGTTGCCTCCTTCTACCAACAACAGCAGCTAACTGATAGTGAAAAAGCTTGCAAGAAAAGTGACACAAATGCCACAAATCTTAGTTTGTATTCAGTTGTGGGAGCTTCTGCATATATAGTTGTGGCTGTCATATTAGATCTTTCACATATCACCTGTTTTGAACAAGAATGATAATCCATTAGCTTGTGAGAAGGACATCAAGTGCAGTAGAAATACTTTGCCTTTACATATGACCACAAGCCACATTGATGTTAATTAAACTTCTTTCCAGCAAACCATTTATGAGAACTCATATCACCAGTGCACATTGCTTTGTTACTGGACTCATTATTATTATTATTATTATTCAACTGTTATGAAATATTTGATTGTTAACAATAGATGTGGCTTGCCCCACAATTGGTAACACTTGTCTGCAAGCTCTGAAGTTATAATCAAATGCACTCATATATATCTATTACTTCTGAATGATACTCTTTCACAAAAGCCCTTCAATGGGAATCCTTAACCCATCCCGGCTCTCTCACCGGAATCTGAGCTGTAGAATCTACATTCGTAGTAGGACCACTCATCGAAGGATCATACAAGGCAGGGGGCCAGTACCATCAGTGGGTGATTCGAGCCCTCTCTTAACTCACGCTCTGGGGCTGCAGCATACAAAGGGTGACCAGGGACAGCTGCTGCAGAAAGTAAAACAACGGTCACCAGAATCTAGTTGCAACACGGGAAGTGATTCTAGATTCAAAACTCTGTTTTGTCTCCGCTAGAGAGTTGTCAATCCGCTTCAGTGAATAACCGGCCTATGTACACGGTGGAAAATACCCCAAGAAAAATGCACCACAGGTATCCACATTTTCTTAGGGTGGGCACACTGGGTTTCAATATTAGCTATGCAGGATGTGTGTTTCTTTCTGTTTATCCTTTTGTGGAGGTGTTATTCAATACTTGTTGCATTAAATAGTAGAGTTTATTTCAATAAAGGGAAAAAAGGAGAGAGAGGAAGGCAGAGAACATATGAGACAGCCATGTGTTCAATAGAAAATGATAGATGGATGAATGTCGGCATAGATAGATAGATAGATAGATAGATAGATAGATAGATAGATAGATAGATAGATAGATAGATAGATAGGAGCCTGGAAACATTCTGCCCCAATAATTACGAAAAGGCTACAAGACAGCTTTACGACCATTAACATCATTATATGCTTCTAATGCCTCCTCCGCAAAAGTGCCAGCTTTTCCTGATGATGCAAAACTGCCCCCCAGACCTGACCTTACAGCCCCCTCATTCACTGAGACAGATTCAGCCTTTTAATTAGGCAGCAATGATGTGCAAAAGCTCAGTAACCTATGGCAGCCAACCGGATCCCACCTCTTATCAGCTAACAGACATCAGGAGAACCAAAGACAGTTACCTGATTGGTTGCCAAGGACTGCTACACTTGGCACATTGTTCTTTGCCTTATGAAATAAGCAGGTTATTCCCTAGATGACAAGGACCCTTCCGCTGCCCCCTGGACAGTTGAAGGTACAATGCGGGTAAATGAGAGCGTTTTTCAGCCTGTGACGAGTGAAGAAAGAGTTAAGGATGCCAGATTGCTGCACAAAGCGTATAAAATAAGGGTGACAGATGATTGCAGTTGCTAAAAGCCCCGGGCGCCTTCTTACTGTTCCGGGCTAACTGTCAAGTGATAGGAAACTATATAAAGTTATGGGATGGGGGGTTGGAAAGGCTAACCCCAATGACTGCATGCAGCGGTACGTTTATGTGTGTGCTGCAGGTGTACCCAGACAAGGAAGCACAAGTGACCAGGAATAAGAGACAATGCATAATACACAGGAACGGGAGGATGGAGTGAATGGACCACCGTACCTCATTGTGGAAATAGGGTCTGCCTCATTCTCTGCACTGAGCTGTGCCTTTCATTCATTCTTTAATCCTTCCTGCTCTGGGAACAGAGAGCAATTCACGACTGCTCAGTGCATCCTTTGTGTGTGTTCTGTGGAGCTGCTCCTAAGGATCCCAGCAATCAAGGCACAAGACCCCCCCCCACCCCACCACCACCACCACCAAATCAGATCTCAGGGCTCTGCGGAGATCCTGCCGGGCTCTGGGGTTCTGTAGTCTGCAGACACACAAAGATGGAGAGGGTCACCTCTTCTGCTTGCTGCATGGAGGAAAAAAAAAAAGGCTTCTTCTTGAATCAAAGACCCAGGCAAAGCTCAGCTCCTCTAGCATGCAGCACAGAGAAGGAGATGCTTGCATAGAGACAGAAGCAACTGCACAGTGCACGGTCTATACCAATCCAGCAGCAGGGAGGGGGAGAGGTATGGCAATTGGTACATGCTGCAACGCCTCTCGGAATCCCAATGCATTTTCTTTCATAAAGGCAGGTCGGGAAGAGGCATCAAACCAATAACCGGCTTCGCTGGACACCTAAACCGGCCCAATTTTCAGAAATGTTGGGAGGAAACCTGCCCCCAAGAACAGAGAGCATGGAGATGCAGCAGATCACTATTAAGAGAAAGTAAAATGTTTCAGACTAGTGTGTTTGTGTTCACAATAATGTCACAGCGTAATTCTAAATCTTCTAAGGACATAGACATTTTGATATTATCTGCACATGCAAATTCCTGCCGTCCACTTACTGCACTTTCATACTGCTCCGGTGCGCCACTGTGCGTTTTTTGTTTACGTACACGGTCTTAAGGCTCCCTATTTATTTCAAATGTTGCAATGCAGAATATCACAACACATGGATATTCGCATCTATGCATTGCTGTATGCTACACTGAGTGGCCAGATTATTATGACCACTTGACGTTTGTAGGCAAATTAGCTATAATTAGCTATAATTTGGCGCTGAAGTTGCTAGAGGGCCAGACCATTATAAATAGGGAAGCGGGTTGTTTACCACGACAGTAGAAGTGATTTTTTTCTGAAGATACGGGGAAACAACGCGATTTAACAGCCTTTGAACGCGGGATGATTGTTGGCGCTCGGAGCCATGGAGCGAGTATCAGCAAAACAGCAGAATTCGTTAAATGTTCAAGAGGGGCTCATTGTTAAAGTGTTTAAAGACCGGACTGTCAGCCGAAAATCTGGGTCTGAGCGTGCGAATTGTGGCCGTCAGCGACTAGTCAATGTTAGGGCAGAACGGAGAGCGGCAAGACTGGTACAAGACAACAGAAGGGCAACAGTGCCGTGTCAGATTCCTCGCATCACCTTTCATCATCTCGTGGAGTCACGAGGCGGCCCAACGAAGTCATCTCGTGGAGTTATCTCGTGGCCCAACGAAGTACTGATGGGGTGGTCATAATAATCTGGCCACTCAGTGTATATTGCAAGTGGATACATGAATCAGGGTGCCAATCAAAATGAATGTCATCGCGGTACACATATACCCGTGCATCAAGGAACACTGCAGTAACATAGATTACAGCAATGCACATATACACATGTGGTGTTGGGCTTTTATTCATTATTTTGCTGTATTTGTATAGTGCCAGTATACTGCACCTTGCTTCAGAGAGTTCATTGATGCATTTACACCACTGCTTAGCAATGAGCCCCTCCGCTCCCAGTATGTGTTTACTTCTAGAGTCAGTCAATATAAAAATCATACTATATTTATAGGTGGAGCCTAGAGGACGAAGTCATCCCTTCTTATATGGGAGAGATGAGGTGATGCATTTATATTAGAGGTGCACCGAAATGAAAATTTCAAAGCCGAAAAAAAAAAAATGTTAGGCCGAAAACCGAAACCGAAAACGTTTTTTTATTTTCACTTTTTCAAATTATTTATTTATTTTTATAATCTTTTTAATTTGTTATATTTATTTTTATTTATTTATACATTTTTTATTAAATATTTTTATTTTTTACTTTACTTTCAGGGGCTTTGGGGAAATACTGGGGGTATTTCCCTTTTAAAATAGAAACAGAGATCGAGGACACAGAGTCCTCAATCTCTTTTTCTGCATCCCCAGTTATCAATGAACAGGAATCGTCTATACTGAGTGTTCATGTTCATTCATAACATGAGGACAGGGTATGTTTACTATAATCACAATCATAAATGAACAGGAGGTGATGTAGATGTAAATCACTTCCCATTCATTCATAATTGAGGATATAGTTAACATACCCTCATCTCAATTATCTACAAACACTCAGCGATCACTGACTGCTTGTACCCGCTCTCCTCTCTGACACGCTGTCACAGGAGGCCGAGCGAGCGGTGTAGGGAGGAGAGTTTAGCCTCCTGTGACAGCATGGGCTGTCTCCGCCCACACACCGCTTTGCCGATCTGTGATAGGAGGCTGAGCGGTGTGGGAGGAGAGATGTCGGCCGCTCACAGCGCTCTCCTCCCACAGCACTCGACCGCCTGTCACAGTTTCTCTCCTCCTCGCTGTGACACAAGGCAGCGCCCAGTGGGGAGGAGAGAAAGCAGGGATGCACTGCTGAATCAGCCAGAAAATGGCACTTTCGGCATTTAGCCAAAAGTGCAATTTTCGGCCGATATGTTTCGGTGGCCGATATACCGGTGAATCCCTAGTTTATATTTTGTTGAGCATGAGCTAACAAAAACGGAATGCCCTCTGACAAGAGGCCCAGAATTGAAGACTCACTTGTATAAAGTTTAGTTGGGGTGCCTAACAGTTTGAGAGACCAAAAACTCTTAATAATGGTATTGGTTTCACAGACGAACGGTACAACCAACACGTTTTGTGGGCTCAAAGACCTACCTCTTCTTCATGGCTTAAACCCTAATGGGTCCGGCACAACTCACCAAGAGTTATTTGCTGTGTAGGGTATAGTCAGAATCAGTGAATCAGAAAAGGCGAATCCCCAGCAACTCCCGTTACATTCTTCTTAATATTAGATAAAAAATACCCAACAGGGAGAAATAGAGTGAGACCGCCCCCTCTCATGATAGCCATAGTAGGTGCACAGACCCAGGCAATAAAGTGATTATGATATAGCAGTATCAGTTACTGCTACTCAATGAAGCAAGCCTTGTGGATGAGGATGTAGGGCTAGAAGGGGTCAATGGATATTTGGCTGTGGGGCTGTTATGGTACGCCTATGGAGGCTGAGGGGTTAGTGGATCGCAACTGCGGAGGCTTCTCAGTCAGTGAAACCCTGGTTTCACTCTCTTATTTATCAGAGAGTTAGGGTTTCTTGCATCACAGCCTCAAACTAAACTGAACTCTGGTTTTAGAGTGGGGATCTTCTGGAGTGTTTGCATGTAGCACAAGTTTCGCAAGTGACCACGTATTCACGTATAGTTTTTGCCATACCAGGCCACCAGAAGTTTCTTTTGACAAGGTCAAGAGTCTTCGCTACTCCAGGATGTCCCGCCAAGGGGTAGTCGTGGTGTTGCTTGACCACTAAGGTTTGCATCATAGGAGGCACGTAGTACTTGTCGCTGTAGAGGTAGAAGCCCTCGGAGTCGCGGTTGAGACCCGGGGGAAGAGAAGATGAGTCCTGAGTAATGCTTTGTTGAAGCAGGTCCTTGAAGTTAATCGAGCCTATAAATCTGTCTGATAACACTCGTGGTATTTTATTTTTTTCGACAATTCGTGAATCAATAAAATTGCCGCAAGCCCCCGTGTCCACCATGGCGTCAATGGTGATCCTCTCGTGGTCCAACTGTATGGAGAGCGGAATAAGAAGATACCGGTTAGAGAGGGGCTCACCATGGTTCGCCTTGCAAATATTTGATAAGTTACCTTCCGACTTCTTCTTGAGGAGGGGACAGGTAGAGACAATGTGTTCTGGAGATGAACAGTATAGACACAGGTTGCGGGCTCTTCTCCTCTCCTTTTCAGCTTGAGATAGCGGACCCCGAATGGCCCCTATCTCCATGGCCTCGTCTTTCTGGGGGGATCTGGATCTCCGAGGAGGAGGAGGATTGTAGGAGTAAGCACGTTCCGACCTTCTTTCTCGGAGACGGCGGTCTAAGGACACGGAGTGCATAATTAGGTCGTCTAGGGTGGTAGGTAGTTCCATGCGGGCGATCTCATCTTTCAATGCGTCGGAGAGACCTAGCCTGAACTGGTTTCGGAGGGCGATGTTATTCCATTGGGTCTCCCTACTCCAACGTTTGAACTCCGAAATATAGTCCTCCACTGTTCTCCGACCCTGCTTTAGGTTTCTGATGGCATTTTCAGCTGTCATCTGTTTACTGGGATCCTCGTATAGGAGAGACATGGCTTCCAAGAACCCGTCGTATGATCCCAACAGCTCACATTCCTCTTCCAGGTAGGTCTCTGCCCAAGCTCTGGGTTCGCCCTTAAGGTATGAGATAAGGGTAAGGATCTTTACACGGTCAGAGTAATAAGTGCGAGGTTGTAACTCAAACATTAAGTTACAGGAACACACGAATTGTCGGTAGACCTTCCTGTCTCCGGAAAAGGGTTCAGGGGGGCAGACCTTTGGCTCTGGACGCTCTCTGGGTGGAGCGGCATTTGCGTTCTGATTAACGCGGATGCGGAGGGTCTCATTCTCGACCCGTAGATCCTGCATGGTGGCTGAAAGCGTTTCGACCCTTTTCGAGAGTCCCACAAGATGTTGTGCTAGCTCCGCTGTATCCATTTACACGGGTTCCACTATTATGTTATGGTACGCCTATGGAGGCTGAGGGGTTAGTGGATCGCAACTGCGGAGGCTTCTCAGTCAGTGAAACCCTGGTTTCACTATCTTATTATCAGAGAGTTAGGGTTTCTTGCATCACAGCCTCAAACTAAACTGAACTCTGGTTTTAGAGTGGGGTTATTACGTCATAAACCCTAACCCTGAGCACCAGGTAGTCGGATATACCGCTTAACAGTTGTGAGAGACACGATTCACTACAGCAAGATTCAGCTTTAACTTTAGTAGCAAGATTTTAAGCAAGTAGCTGGTAATGGATACAGTCTCTATGGAAGGTTGTGCAACTGCACTAAATACTTGCTGTTGTGAGGGTTGGTTTGGGAACACAAGCTGGGGGTCCTTTTGGAGTCCGGTTCCGGTCAGGGCAGCCGTCCAAGTACTGTGGAGGCATAGGAGGGTCCCAGGAGACAGCAGGCGTTCTGGCTCAATAGTGGAACGCCATGCTGTCTCGTCTGGGCGCTTATATACTGCTGTAGGGGTGTGGGGAGGAGCCGCCTAACGAATCGGCGCACTTCCGCGTTCCAAGGTGGAACGCACCCGGCCTTCGAACCCGGAAGTGACGAGCGTGCGCTCCACCGTGGAACGCAGCGGCAATCCGAGACGCGGCCGGCACCCGAAGCTTAGGTATG